CTAAGTCTGAGTTGGACTGGTTAAGTGATACAGCCGATTCTGACAATACGACCCGTATGCGACATTGGGTTCGAGTTGATATGCTTCAAGATGATTGCCACGCATGGATAGAGTCCTGAGAAGGCAATTGTATCTATTAATTAGGATATTTTATGTAATTTCCTTAGAGATATGTTTGGGCAAAAGTCTGCCGCAAAGACTTATAGTATCTTAGAGTTTGTTAGAGATAAGAGTCGTGTCCAATATGGACATATCTTGTATTTCTCGGGTATAAATAGACCCCGAGCCCTATGTAATAAAAAACACACACGTTCAATACAATTTCGGCGCATCGCCACCCTTTTTGCTTTCGTTTTATTTCGACGAGTTATTGCTTTCGGGTTGAGCTGCATCGGTTTCGATCTTCAACAAGAGGTAAAACTTGTTGTGACGGCTTGTGTTCTCGAGATTAGTGCTTCCATCTTTATGATACTCTAATCTTTTTTATGTAATCCGTCAAGTTATCATATATCTTGCATAATCCTTGACAATATTGTCATTTAACCTACAATCGGCTAACATCTGTTACTAGAAGGCAGCCGGTTAGATTAAATAGCGACGTTGGCTTATATTATATAAGATATCCACCACTCTATGAAACATCCAGCGGCTTGATTGTCTAGATATTGTTCTTCTTTTCATACTTAATGTTGTATCAGTTGAGTTTGATCTATTAAGTCGTGCTTAGAATTTCAATCTCTAGCCTGCCTACTGGTTGCCGATTAGGGTAGTATCGGAGTTTCAGCCGATCTTATCTAATCCAATTGCTTTTGTTCTACATGCTCAATTAACATGTTAGATTTGTCTTTCATGTTAAGATCTTATCGCATTTAAGTATATTAGATTTCTGTTTAGTATATTCTATTTGCTTTAATATCTTAATATAAAGTAGTATCGGAGTATTAGCTGATACATGCTAGATCTATTTGATCGGTTATGCTATGAATATGTATATAATCTCATTATTAATATATATTTCGATCTAAGTGATTTATATTGTCTCGGCAAGGTGACCGATCTATCCCAATCACTTGATTCAAGTATATATTGATATAAGGATTATATATCATTGATATCTACAGCCGATCGAGTAGATTTAGTTCTGATTTGTTTCCTTAACAATTGCTGATCGATTTACATATGACATCAGCTCAAAGATAAATGATATGTCATCGGCATTTACCCGATCGGCTATCATTTATGGATTTAATCACGGTTTCTTTGTCTTTGTTTCTTGTTGATTGCAGGATAAAATCAACTGGCACTCTCATACATCCGAAGGCGAGTTTTGGACCTGCACTGGAGTTAAGCAGATCTCCCAGGCCTTGTGTTTTCCATCAACAGCGCTGCGTCGCTTCGCTGCTCAACCGCTGTTGGCTCGGCGCTGGCGGCGCCCAAGAAGCTCCTCAATGGCAGGGTCTCCATCGAGGAGCCGCGCGCCGGCGACGTCGGCGAGGAGTGCGACATGTTTGACCCGCTCTACGTTGGCTTCCGCTGCTCCGAGAACGGCCGCCCCGACGACCCCTACACCAAGTGGCGCTGGCGCTCCTTGCGCTGCTTCCATTGATTCCATTGTTGGATTGGGGCCGTCCTAGCTACCAACCGCCGCCCCCGGTCCGGTTCCGCTGCGCCCCGATGGCCACCGCCGCTCCCCTCATCCAACCGCCGCCGCTGCCATCGAGAAGGAGAGAAAAGAGAGAATATAGGGGTGGGGTCACTGACAGGTGGGCCCCACTTATTTTTTAAAACTTATTTGATGACTGGGATGTCACGTAGGCGCCACGTCAGCGAAACCGCCCTCCAAAACCGCCGAGGGAGTCAAATTGCATCGGTTTTAAGAGTTAGGGGGGTCGAGATATCCGATTTTGTGGTCAGTGGCGAAGCCAGAACAAATTGAAGGGGGTGCACCACTCAACTGTACGTGTAGCGGCACATAGAATTTTCAAGCCATGATATACAAAGCGTATGATGGAAATGTGATTAAAAATTCCTACTTAAAAATGTAAAATAAAGGGAGCCATAATAAAAGAGATACTCAGTATTGTAAGACACATCGAACCATTGAATAAGGGTGTGTTTTTGTGAGGAAAGTAGAAGAAAGCGTATGATTAATTAAATATTAATTATTTTAAACTTGGAAAATGAATTAATATAATTTTTAAAGTAACTTTTCTATAGAAGATCTTTGCAAATACACACGGTTGGGGAAGTATGTGCGCGAAAAACGAGGGATTTTTCTCCATGCTTCAAACCAACTCACCCTAAAACTGGTGGAGTATGAGTACTAGATATTAGAATGTGATAAAATTCAAAAGTTAGGGAGCTAGTGCCATAACTTCTCATATTGAAATTTTAGTACTTAGGATCAATATACAATTACTCCACTTTCCTAAATCCCAATGTAAAAGTATAATTATTTAAATCCTAAACTAGTATGTAGAACCATTAAAATAATAACTGAAATTGAACTCTATATTTAAACTTTAACTCTTTAAGGTTTGAAGTGAAGAATTCAGACAAATTGAGGAAATACGATGAGGAAGATCTATGTCCTTGCCTCTATGTCATTCACATAAGCACATACGAGAGATACACATGATCAGTAAAAAAAACAAAAGAACAAAGCAGTACGCTGATGCAGCAAATTGGGTACCAACTGAACGCGTGCGGCCAAGTGACCTCGTGGCCGTGCGTCCGTCCTGCCGCGCTTTGGCCAGCCGTCGGGGAGTGCACGTAAGTAGGGGTGGAAACGAGCCGAGCCAAGCCTGGCTCGGCTCGGCTTGCAATGGCTTGCAACAAGCTAGGCTTGGCTTGGCTCGGCTCGGTTAGGGAAACGAGCTAAAACATGAGCTCGGCTCGGCTCGTTTCCTGGCTCGAGCCAGCTCGAGCTGGCTCGCGAGCCTTCCGTTGAAGCTATATAATTTATAATCATTAAGAAAAGCAATAACAAATCATCAACATATAAAATTAAAATAACTTTATATATTAAATTCATCAAATTATAGATGATAAATTACATATTGACAAATAATAACTCCACTAGTAAATAAAATTGTCAATATAAATACATGATGGCTAGGCTCACGAGCCAAATCAAGCGGCTCGCGAGCCAGCTCGGGCTCGGCTCGTTTCAGAACCGAGCTGAAAAGGAAGCTTGGGCTTGGCTCGTTTGGCATTCAAGCCGAGCCGAGCTAAGCGAGCTCGAGCCAAGCCCGAGCCGAGCTCACAAGCCCAAGCTTTTTTTCCACCCCTACACGTAAGGGAGCTGAGAGGGGTGCACATTGGCAAAAACAGGATATCAAGCACTGTAAACAGAGATGCAGGGGGTTTCATGTGCACCCCCCCCCACCCCAGCCAATGTAACTTCGCCCCTGTTTGTGGTTTAGGGTCACGGTTTAGGGTCACGGTTTAGGGTCACGGATTAGATTCCAGTCACTTTTGAGGATCACAAAGTGAACTTATTCCTGCAGCTGCCGTGCAAGTGTAGTGGGCCGACTACACAGACGCATTCGCACGCAACGCAACACGCATCGTGTGGCATCCACGCGTAGGCGCAGCTTCCGCTTACGGAATGATTGTGTTATTTTTTTATTTTTAATAAACAGAACGAAACGGTCGGGAAATTTTAATACTCCCATTTATGAATTTAACTACTTAGTGTCAACTTCAATGTCACGCTAACAGAAATAGAAAAAATTAGATTTTGAAAACGGTAACCATCGATGAAAATATTATTATTATATTAGTTTTCCGGAAACAGTATCGGTACAGTTGGGAAATTTTCGTACCGTTTTCGCTCCTAATCTATTATGTATATGGTATGTTTTGATTCATTGTATTAAAAGGGGTTCCACTCAGATTAAGTTTTTTTTTTGGGACAGATGGAGTGGCCTCCAAGCAAGTTACTTATTGGGCTCTTCCAAGTGAAGGCAGCACAGGAGAAAAAACATATCTTTAGGAGCTTAGAGCCTTTGACAGGGGAGGAAGAGGGAAGTGAAAGGACGATGGCCCTATGCTGGGCACGACCGCTATTAGAGCAAGGATAATAGCGGGCTATTAGCCAGCTATAAACATATTTTAATGAGATAAAAGATGAGAGAGAAGAGTAGCGGGCTACAGATCTATAGTCAGCTGCAGTACGGACTGAGACCATATGTTAATAGTATAGTAAGCAACTATTATATGAATTGGCTATTAGATCGGCTATAGATAAATTGGAGTTAGTAATGGGCTATACTATTGAACTTGCTCTTAGGATCATCACAGATGCACAAGCGGTCACTCCGCGGAATCACCAACGCCGCTCTTGCTCGGTCCGAAGGAGTCCGGGGGAGACGGAGGAGAATGAATCTAAGGTTAGGGGGTTCGATATGGTGATATTTGTTTGAAGTCACCCCAGGACCCTAATTACCCATGTTTAGGTGTGTCGCCAGTATCGGGAAAGAAGACGAGGAGGTCATCAGAACTGAAAAAGGACAGGGACAAGAATCACAAGTATTTATAATAATCCAAAATCTACGAGATTTGGAGGTTGATTCTCTGGCGAATGACATTCAGCAATTCAGTTTTAATATACTCCCTCCGTTTCTATATATTTAATATTGTTGACTTTTTAGCACATGTTTAACCGTTCATCTTATTAAAAAAAATTTATGAAATATATAAAACTATATATATACATGAAAGTATATTTAACAATGAATCAAATAATAGGAAAAGAATTAATAATTACTTAATTTTTTTTAATAAAATGAATAGATAAATATATTTAAAAAAATCAACAGCGTCGAATATTTATAAACAGACAGTAGCAAACAAGCAAGGCTGAAGAGAAAAATCTACTAGACGCAAAGCGGCAAAAGTTGATGGACACAAAAAGTGCAGCTCACCTGGCGCCGGGCCCCACTCTTCCAGGCCCCTGTCCACAGGCTGCAGTTCCCAGTCAGATAAGGAGATAATCCAACCCAAAAATATCACACTTCCACATACAAGCGCACACACACTGTGCTCTGCTGCCATCGCGGCTCATCCAAAGCTATAGCTTAGCTCTGCACACCTGCAGCTCGTCGTCGGCGATGGGAGCGACCATGCAGCTCGTCGTCGGCCTCGCCGGCGTCGCCTCCTCCTCCCCCCGCCTCGCGCCACACTGCGCCGTGGCCACGGCCACCACCACCAGCAGCTGCAGCGTCAGGAAACAGAGCTGCAGCTGCTGCGGCGCCGCCCATCTGCCACGGCGGCTGCAGCACAAACAGCAGAGGAGGTGCGGGATTCGTGTCCGCGCCGTCGAGACGGACGCCGCCGCCGGCGGCGAGGCGAAGGCCGCACCGGAGGAGCCGCCGAGCGTCGACTTCGCGTTCGTCGCCGTGAGTTTTGTTCACCAATCTCTCTTATCCCGATTCAGTGATTCCTCGCTTTGGTAGTTTCGTTGGTTGATCGATGCGAAGCTCAAAAATGGGCATGGCGTGCGTGCGTGCAGCCGCGGCTGCTGCCGGACGGGACGCCGGACGTGCACTACCGGACGGCGTGCGGCGGGCAGAAGCTCCGCGACATCATGCTCGACAACTACATCGACCTCTACGGGCCTTACGTATATTACTGCGCTTAACTTTTAATTATCGTTAATTAATTGCTTCATCGCTTTGCTCTTCGTGCTGTCCTGTTGCTAGTGATGATGCTGCTGCTGCTGCAGGATAAGCTTCTGCTCAACTGCGAGGGAGGTGGAGAGTGCGGGACCTGCATCGTCGAGGTACTATACTAGGCGAGATTCAGAAATGCCAATACTGGTTTTCAACTTCTGATTAGACTTTTCAACTCATTTGATTTTTCTTCAGGTAGTTGAAGGCGGTGAACTGCTTTCCCCCAAAACTGATGTTGAGAAGGAATTGCTGAAAAGGGTTTGTTCATCACTTACCCCCGCATGACAAATCACAAACTGTATTTGATTCATTTCCTGTGTGTTCAACTGTTCATATGACCCAAAAAAATAAACATCTTTTTTGAAATATATGCATTGTTCAGAAACCAAAGACATGGAGATTGGCGTGCCAGGCTACTGTCGGCAATCCAGATTCAACTGGACAGGTATGTCTTGTGCTCCATTTCACAAGATCTCTATGCATAATTTAATTGTTGCAAATTAATGCTGCTCCTTGGCAGTTTTAATTTACACGCTGAATATATAATTCTCACACGAATTTCTGAACATTACCAATAGGCGATCTTGAAATTTGCAAGTACTTGAAAGTTTATTGCACTACTGTATTTTCAGAGTCACATCAGTAATAACGGTGTGTGTTCTTGACACCCTGATTATGCAGATGGTCATTCAGCAATTGCCGGAGTGGAAGATACATGAGTGGGACAAGTAGCTGAATTTTAACTAGCGCTGCTGTGTGGCGGCAATACAGTAGATTAATTTCACCGACCATGGAGAAAAAGAGAGAGAGCCTAGCACATGATCAGGAGAAGAAACATTGGAAGACGATTAATGCTGTACATCCAAACTCCATGTAAAATTGTATACGTCTCCTGTAGCTACCAAATGGTCAGCATGAGTGTAATCAGGGATTGAAATTCGCTAATCTCAGACCCCCACAAGCAAATATCTCGCCCAAGATTTTTGGATTTTTTTTCCAAATTAATCTTTATGAATTTGGTCAAAATTTATCCAAATTCAGTCAAATTTGTTAAAATTTTAAATAATTTCGTACAAAAATATTTTGCCCGATACCTCAGCCAGAAAGCGCGAGGGACATCGGGACGCACGACGGCCAGCTCGTGGCTCGTGCGGCAGCTATGTACGTAGGGTGGATGAAAAATATTAACCTAGTTAGGTTGTGAGCGTTGTTTTGCCATGACAAAGTTGGGATTGCATTTGCTCCATTTTATCTACAGATATAAAGTTTACAAACTACTCCCTCCGTTTCAAAATGTTTGACACCGTTGACTCTTTAGCACATGTTTGACTGTTCGTCTTATTTAAAAAAAATTTATGAAATATATACAACTATGTGTACATGAAAATATATTTAACAATGAATCAAATGATATGAGAAGAATAAGTAATTACTTAAATTTTTTTAATAAGACGAATGGTAAAACACGCACTACAAAATTAACGGTGTCAAACATTTTGAAACAGAGGGAGTAATATACAAAATTTTATATTCTATCCCTCCGTTCTAAAATATATACAAGGACAGTTTGACTTAGGCATTAAGGAGAATAGTAAAATAAATTGATGGGTAGCTGTGATCAGTTGAGAGGAGGATGTAGATGATAAAATTAAATAGGTGATTTTGAAATTGGTTAATATGAGAGAGCAGGTGTACAGTTAGCAATTTTAGGATTAATGAATTCTACATATAGCTGTATATTGGGATGGAGGCGTATGTAATATTAGAGATATCTAATTCATCAACATAAAAAATGCATTTTCCAACACACCCTGAACCAATATACACGTACTATAAATTAACGAGCACGTCAACTGGTGAGCTGAATATTCTATTTGGGTATATTGGCCGGATCAAATTAGAGGAACAAACTCATGCCTCGCCTTAGAACGTCCTCGTTTATTGTACTGTACCTATTGTCGACATATAACTTGCCATTCGGTGCACAATTATTGGCTTGCATACGCTTGTGTTATTCAACCATTCCTAGACAAGTCTCAATGGCCAAAAGTAGATCTTGTGTTCAAGTTGTTGCAACCTCTAATAAGAGAGAAGTAGATCGAGAAAGGAAAAATATGATAATTGGTTTTCTTGAGAAAGCACAAGGCATGAAGGCAAGACTAGGATCGAAGCTAAGTGGAAAGTTCAATGCATAAGAGATGTCTTGTCATGGGTGATAGGTCAACATCTCTCCCAACTTTTCTTTGAATGAAGAAAAAGTACCCATATACTGTCTTGTTTTCAGTTTTATGATGTTGTCCATTTCCTTTCCAGTTTTTATTTACCTGTTTTAAATTTGCAGGAAAAATATAGCCAAACAAGGGAGACTACTAGGTTCAACCAGTTTCAGTGGGTACTAGCACACCACACCAAAAAGAAGAAAGACCGCGGCTGTAATACTCTGAATTTCGAATTAGTATATTTCGGGGAATATTAGAATAAACGCGCAAAATTTTAACTTTTAAACCGTTGTTCGAATAGGCGATCAGGAACCGTGAACACGTAGAGCTCGCCGAGTAGTGCAAAATAGACTATAAGTTTATAGTAATCGGAGTCCGAACAAAGTCCCGGTGACCGAATTAATGTGGGCCGTTCGATCTTCATTAGCCTTTCTCTATTTAACCAACAGAAGAAAAAAAAAGAAAGGAAAAAAAAAGTATCGCTAGCAGCCAGCCCTAACCGCTCCTGCGCGCTTGCCGCCGCCGCCGTCGTCCTGGTTGCCGCCGCCGTCTTTGCATCGCCGCCACGACCATAGCCGGAGACCACAGCCGTGGTCATCCATCACAACCGGTGTTTCCTTTCTTTCTTCCCGGTGAGTTCCTGCTGCTGCTTCTTCTATCGTTGCTGATCTGCTGTTGCTGCTGCTTGTGCTGCTGCGGCTGCGTTGCTGCTGCTATTGGGTGCTGAGCCAATCTGCTGTTGCTGCTGCTTGATCAGAGAGAAGGGTACAGAGAGGTTGTACAGGAGGAAGAAGGAAAGGAAAAGGCAGAGCAACGTTGAGAAATTTCAGCGATTTCTCAAATTAGAGAAATTTGTCGCAAGGTAGCGTTCCTCCTCTGCAAAGGCAACTTCTCTTTAGTCCCTGGAAGTATAAGATTCAAGTAGAAATTGATTTGATAGCTGCTCGTGCAATTTTTTGAGGTGCTTGAATATAGGCTGAAACCGTATTTTCAATTCTGGTATTAAACCATCGGGATTCAGGTTAGTTGTCATAAATAAAGTTTGTAGTCATCGTCGATATCTTTCTAACGCTGCTGTTTTCACTCAATTCCGATAAACGGTTTGGGAGAAACAACAAAAACAGTACTGCTGACCGGGTCTGGAAATCAGGACAGCAATTTGTTTTCCTTAATCTGGGATTTTCAGAGGCATAATCTGATTTTGTGCTCAACATGAAAGTTGTATACAATTTTGTCTAGATGTCCGAAGTTATATTATTTTCTAGTTTCCGTTAGACGGTTTGTGAGTTACGCATAAAACAGTAATGGAACAACTATAGGTTATTTAATACAAATCGGTAAAAGGTTTATATGTTCTAGGTTTCGATTTTAGTAAATATCCCTTGTAACCATCGTTAGTTGAATATAGTGGTTTATGCGTAGTTTTTCTTCACAGGTGTGGAGGGTTCCAACGTTGGAGGAGTTAAGTCGGAGTATCGAAGGAGTTAAGGCAAGTACAAGACGGACCTGTGTGATGGATAAACTGTGTTACTTTGTTTGATTTCATTTACCCAATTATTATTCGAAGCTTCCTATTATCAATTGTGTGGTTTTGGTATTATGATACATATTCATATTTCACTTTATGTTCAAGTTCACGACGTTATTCATGTTTCATTTCTCCGGAAGTTTTTGTTTACGTTATTTAAGTACCATGCGTAGTCATGGGAGTGCAATTTGAATCTTTTTTGTTTACATTATTCAAGTACCATGCGTAGCCATGGGAGTGCAATTTGGATCTTTATTCATGATCCTTGAGAAGCGCTGATCACGCTTGCTCGGCTTACCGGTAATGCTAAGAGGATATTCACACCTGCTCGGGAGGGAACTACTACTTTTTGCCTCCTTCGTATTAAATTAAAAGAAATCAAATGTTTCATATTGGTTTCTTCTTGCATTAAACATGTGTATATTTTACTAGTTCAATATTATACTTGCTGAGTATTCTTTACTCACTCTTGTGTTTAATTTGGTTTTTAGGTACCTAATGATATTGATCGGCATGGGACAGGAGTAGCACCCTTGGACTACACATTATTATTGCACACTACTGAAATTTAGTTTTAGACTATGTTTCTGCCTAGCATAAGTTTTGTGTAGAACTTGTAAAGGTCATTTAAAGTTCCGGTCCATAGTTTCACGGGGAATTCATGGAGCTAGGATGGTTTGGATTGTGTGGGTTATATCGTTATTGAGTATCTTATAACTGCCTGTCGTGGATGTCCGTATTTTTAGGGGAGACTCTACCGAAATTTCTAATAATTTTGGGAGTTAGTGGTTTTTAGTGTTTTTGGTGTGGCACTCTAGGTACATGGTTACCTGGGGTGTTACAGCGGCAAATGATTCTATTAATACAATGCTAGTCCTAGGCCTAATAAGAGATACTTCCTCCGTTTCGTATTATAAGACTTTCTAGCATTGCTCACATTCATATATATGTTAATGAATCTAGGCATATATATGTGTTTAGATTCATTACCATCTATATGAATGTGGGCAATGCTAGAAAGTCTTATAATATGAAATGGAGGGAGTATCTATCTTTTCAATGTTTTTCCATCTATGAGATTCTACTATAAAGAAGACTGCACGAGGGAAAGGCAAAAAATGAATGATGTTATGTAATCTTAATTGTTTGACTTTTGAATACACGATTATGCATGAGAGTAGTAGAAGGAAAGAATATCTTTTTGTGCATCATGTCCAGACGACCATGAAACTTGATACTTTTATACTCAAATTGTTGTTGGCCTGGATGCTTGTGATTCACTTGGATATGCTAAGACCCTTAACTCATTGCTTTGGTAATCTTAATTGTTGATTTGTTATTGATCTGGATGTTGTTGCTGAAAATTTTTCATTATGAGTACATATGGTGCCATTTTTACCCTATCATGTCTAAATGATGCCAGAATTTGTTCTCAGATTGTAGATTGTATGATGCCAATTGTTTCCTTTTTAAAAAATCAATTTCACAAAACTATAGGTATATGTTGACCAAACTATATTACAAAACAACATATTTTAGAATTTAAATCCCTAGCACCATTGTTATATTGGAGCTATAAACATTGTAGTTTTGTGACTAAATTGGTTCTAAATCTGTAGTTTTGTGATAGTTTTATTACTAAATATGTAGTTTTGTGACTAGATTGGTTCTAAATCTGTAGTTTCATTATAATTTTATTACTGAATATATAGTTTTGTGACACTCTATATTAAATGTGTACTTTTGTGATAAATTTGCTGTTAAATACGTAATTGTGTGATACACTAACTTAAATGAGAGAATCTATTCTATACCACTGAATTTGTTTGGGTTCAATAATTTGCCATCGACATTGTCTCTTTCTATAATATACCGACGACTTTATCAATTGTTCTACAATACGCCATTGGGCTAGGTCTTCTTTCCAAAAATACCCAAAGTACCCTTAGAGACATAAGATTAACAATTGATATATCTCATTAGAAGTTTCAAAAAAATATGAAAACTTTTATGTTGCCTCCTTACACAACATGGAAGTTTGTGTACAAGTTTCAAGTTTTTTTTGGTATATTTAGTTTTTAGAAAAAATATTTTTATGTGGTATATGAGAGAGAATTTCCTTATACAAGAGATAATAGCACAAAAAATATCTTATGTAGTCTATGAAATATGATATATATTAAAAACAACAATAAAAAGTATTTATAAAGCATATAGAAAATAAATTATATTTTCTTTTTAAAAAATAGACATGTAAAGAACTTAAAACTTGTATACAAATTTTCATGTTGAGTAAGGAGGCGACATAAAAGTTTTTATATTTTCTTGAAACTTCTAATGAGATAACCTTATATGTCCATAAGGGTATTTTGGGTATTTTTGAAAAGAAGGCCTAGCCCAATAGCGTATTGTAGAACAATTGAAAAAGTCGTCGGTATATTTTAGAAAGCGACAATGTCGATGGTACTCATTGAACTCGAACAAAATCAGTGGTATTTAATAGATTCTCTCGAGTTAAATCTACAGATTTGTGATAGTTTAGTCATAGTATCTGTAGGTTTGAGAAATTTTCTCTTTTTTCCCAAATTTGATTACATGATATCAAAATATGTTCTCATATTGTACAACTTGGATGCTGAAGCATCAAGCCCCTGTTGTTAATTTTGGTAATTAACGATAAGTTGTGGACTAACTATTTTATTTGATTTGAATGGGATAATTTGAGTTAGGACAACAAGATGTGTATGCCAAGGGTGATTATGGCAGATTAAAATTGATGGCACAAAAAAACCAAGATGAAGTTGATAAATCTAGCGTTTTGTTTTTATTGATTGACATGTTGGGTACTCAACTTTGCTAGGTTTTCTTTCTAGCTTTGTTGTACTAGTGTACTATCAAGAGGGATAGTAATCCTCGCAAAGAAGTGGTCAAAATACCATATTAGTGCATATGTATGAGGGTATCTTTGTTTTGGCTTTGGTCCCTTGCTTTTCTTTGGAGGTTGGACAGACCGAGATACTGGGCCAGTCGGTCTGGGCTGGTCCAGAAGGTTGGCTAGCCCTTTTGGACAAGGCCAGACGGACCAAGCTCCAGGGCCAAATCGGTCCAGGGATGTCCAAAAGCTATGTCCGGTCCCAGGGCATATATGGCCACATGGGTGCCTTTATAAGTCTTTTTTTCTCAAAATTAGATGACACGAGAGATGATAATTGTTATCTAGCTGTTCTGACAGTGACAAACAAATGTTGCTTCCTTAAAAAGGACTTAATCAAGGGGACAATGGTAGGCAGTGGATTTTAAACTCTCGAGGGATACCCTTCGTTGTTTGCGTATCACTTAAATAGTTATGAAAAATTAAGAAAATGTATGAACATGTGATATACCACTCCATAAACATGCAAGTTAAAATTCAACATCTACATATCACAACGAGAAAAACAAATTTGATTGTGAATATATGTTAACTAGTTGTAGTTTAATTTATTTTTTTCGTTGCGAGATGTAAAAGTTGAATTTAAACTTACATATTTGTGAAGTGATATATCACATGCTAATACATCTTCTCAAATATTTTTAATTTTTCTCATAACCATCTCAGTGACATAAAAATAATGAGCGGACATTTCCAGATCAAAGTAGTTACCCGACATTGGTACAGTGGTGCAATTTATCAATGCATGTGCATGTGTTCCACAAACTGTTCGTTTCTTTGCCAACGCCTCCAAATCCAAGGCTCCAAATCTCCAACTACCGAGCCGTGTGCCAGCGAGCCTGTGACTGAGCAGAGTGCCAGAGAGCACCGAGGAGTCGCGGCGCACCGGCGATGGGCACGGCGCCGGCGCCGGCGCACGTCCTCGTGTTCCCGTGGCCGATTCAGGGCCACCTCAACGTCATGCTCCACCTCGCCGTGGCGCTCGCCGGCGCCGGCGTCCACGTCACCTTCCTCCACACCGACTACAACCTCCGCCGCCTTGGCGCCGCCGCCGCCGCCGCGGTGGCCTCGCCATGGCTCCGGTTCATGTCCGTCACGGACGGCCTCCCCGACGACCACCCCCGCACGGTGGCCAACCTCGGGGAGATCAGCCGCTCCCTCCATACGGCTGGCCGCGCCGCGTACCGTGCTCTGCTCGCCTCGTCGTCGCAGCTGGTCCCCGCGGACGCAGCTGGCGGCGGCGCCTTCCCGCCGGTGACCACCGTCGTGGCGGACGCCCTCCTGCCGTTCGCCATCGACGTCGCCGAGGAGCTCGGCGTGCCCGCGCTGGCCTTCCGCACGGCGAGCGCGTGTAGCTTCTTGGCGTACATGTCCGTGCCGAGGCTTGTCGAGCTCGGCGAGCTGCCGTTCCCTCCGGGCGGCGACCTCGACGAGCCGGTGCGTGGCGTTCCGGGCATGGAGGGATTCCTACGCCGGCGAGATCTCCCGAGTCCTTGCCGCCATCACGGTGCCAACAACAACGACGACGCCGCGGCCCTGCTGGGACGTCTGGCCGACGCCGCCGTGCACTGCAGCAAGGCACGTGCGTTGATACTCAACACCGCCGCGTCGCTGGAGGCGCCAGCGCTGGCGCACATCGCGCCGCGCATGCGCGACGTCTTCGCCGTCGGTCCTCTCCACGCCATGTCGCCCGCCCCGGCGGCGGCCACCAGCCTGTGGCGCGCGGACGATGGCTGCATGGCGTGGCTCGACTGCCAAGCCGACCGGTCCGTCGTGTACGTCAGCCTGGGGAGCCTCACCGTCATCTCGCCGGAGCAGTTCACGGAGTTCCTGTCCGGGCTCGTCGCCGCCGGCAACCCGTTCCTCTGGGTGCTCCGGCCGGACATGGTCACGGCGAGGCGGCGGCACGCCGACCTCCAAGAATCTGTCACGGCGGCGGCGGGAGACAGCAAGGCGCGCGTCGTGGGGTGGGCGCCGCAGCGGGACGTGCTGCGCCACCGCGCCGTGGGGTGCTTCCTGACGCACGCCGGCTGGAACTCGACGCTGGAGGCCGCCGTCGAGGGCGTGCCGACGGTGTGCTGGCCGTTCTTCACCGACCAGCAGATCAACAGCCGGTTCGTGGGCGGCGTGTGGAGGACGGGGCTGGACATGAAGGACGTGTGCGACGCCGCCGTCGTGGCGAGGATGGTGAGGGAGGCGATGGAGTCCGGCGAGATCAGGGCGTCGGCTCAGTCGGTGGCGCGGCAGTTGAGGAGGGACGTCGCCGAGGGTGGCTCGTCGGCGATGGAGCTGAAGAGGCTCGTCGGCTTCATCGGGGAGCTCGCCACGCCAATCCAACACGCCAAATCCGAATCCGAAGTGTAGTGCGTTGGCCTCTCCCTCAGCTTTCCACAGCCACAAGAACTCAAATCAGTGGCGGAGATAGCTCCTGGGCAGGTCGGGCAGCCGCTCGGGCTCTGCTGCTGCCGTCTCCATTGTCGTTAGCTGCCGGCACGTACATAAATCGGTTGGTCCCAGTCCCTCGCGCTTTACGACAGTACTGGCTCCGCCACTGACTCAAATCTAAATGAAACTCTAGACTCCAGAGTGAGAACACAAATAAGTACTCCCTCCATCTCACAATGTAAGAATCCATCTCACAATATAAGCGATTTTGAGTTTTTCTCGTAACATTTGATCACTTGTCTTATTTAATTTTTTTTGCAAATATAAAAAATAAAAAGTTGTGCTTAAAGTACTATAGATAATAAAGTAAGTCACAAATAAAATAAATAATAATTTCAAAAAAATTTGAATAAGACGAGTGGTCAAATGTTGCAAGCAAAAACTCAAAATCCCTTATATTATAGGACGGAGGGAATACGTTCAGAGCATAGATTAGATTTTTTTTCCTCCCACATTTGTATTTGAAACTTTCTATGGTAATAGATATATATTGTACCAATATTGGTAATTTTTCACGACTTATTATAACTTTTGCATGTATTTGAAGAAAGAAAAAAGAGTCATCCCTTGAGGAGGAAAAAAACATTTTCTCGATTAGTGTTGTGTATATCAATAAGAAAGAGACTCAAGATGCATATACTCCTCTGTTTTATAATATAATAACTTATTTTGGTTTGTCTTAAATCAAACTTTTTTAATGTTTATCTAACATTATAGAAAAATATAGTAGCATTTTTAACACAAAATAAATATACTATAAAGTATATATTCAATGGTGAATTTAATGAAACTATTTTGGTATTGTATATCTTTCTACTTTTTTTATAAACTTCATCAAACATGAGAAGTCCATCCTAGAAAAAAGAAATCTGGCTGAAATAAAAATAATTCAGTTTTAAACACACCTTTGTATGTATGAAGTTGTACTAATAAGTTAATTATTGGTTAATGCCACCTTTACATGCACATTGGGAATGTTCTTTAACTACCTTCGTCCCACTATACAAGAGATTATTCTATTTTTTTTAGAGAGATTAAGATAGTAACAAAAGAAAGTAGAATTCTCCCATTAAATATGTGTTGGTCATGGGGGATGGATCGTTGAATGTAAGATAAATAAAAATTAAATTAGAACTAGTTGACGTGGCTACTAACATATTAAATTATCTTATATTATAGGAAAGAAAAAGGTGAAATGTCTTATCTTATGGGATGGACGAAGGAAACTCTTATGACATCCACAATGTGGTGCAAAAATATTCCATAAGTAATATGATATTTCACTCAACCACTATTATGCGACTAGTCCATATAAAGAAAATAATAAAAGATATACATATGCACATAGACTATCCATATGAAATAAATAATATTATTTATCTCTACTTTTTTCTTTTTTTCTAATGCTATCTTGTATTTATATATGTGAGGATTGGGTATAGTTAAAGTTTATGTATGTGGTCCATCTATATGAATCATTTTTATCATATACTACCTCTATTTTTTTAATAGATGACGCCGTTAATTTTTTATCACACGTTGGACCATTCATCTTATTTAAAAAATTAAGTAATTATTATTTTTTTTCATTGCAAGTCATTTTATCACTTAAAATACTTTAATCATGATTTACATTTTATACGTTTACATCAAAATTTTGAATAGGATGAATGGTCAAACATGTATTTAAAAATAACGGTATTATCTATTAAAAAAAGGCCAAAGTATACTGGTGATGTGTTAAATTTGAAAATATATTTTTTTTCATAATTTGCGTTTATATACATGGGTGGTGAGGTATATCAAAAATATACCTATTCCGCGAGTTGGAGATGCCGGATGCAGGAGCGAGACGATACCGCAGACCGGCGGCACGGGAGCACGGTACCACAGCATGGGAGTGCGGGACCGGTTGGGTCGCGCAGACCAGGGCTGCGGTACCGAGTTGGTCCCATGCGGTGGCTGTGCGCGTTCCTGTAGCCCGCGGGACCGGCTGCCGGCGTGGCCGGTCACGCAGAGTGGTGGCCTGGGACCAAAGCGGTCCCGCACTACCAAGCTGCGGCACCGAGCCGGTCCCTTGGGGCTTCGGTGCCGCTTTCCTAACACGCGAGATCGCACGCTCTCCGCATCTCCATTGCGCGGGACCGTACCAAAAGTTATTTTTATCCGCCGAAAGTTATTTTATCCCATGGCTCTGGCTCCATGTGACATCCTCAGGCACAAACAAAGGAGAGAGTGATTCTCTCCTCTAGTCCTAGATTTTTTTTTCACGTGTTGCCTGCCGAAAATTTTTTGTTGTCTGGTTATAGAGCCTACTCGTCGAGTGCCTATAAAAGGAACGTTACGAAACGAAAGAAGCAGACTCAAGTATAGCATGTAACTCATATTCGTAGAGTTTATCATTGGTGTAAACTTCAATAGGTTAGTGCGCTTGGCAAATTCACAGGCCCTATCTTGTGGTATGAACTGAGAACGCGATGATTTATGGTGCGTATTGGGGGCCGGCTTACCATAAGATAATGTCGTGAATTCGCCAAGCATTCAAACCCACTGAAGTGTTGTGTAAAGGTAAATATTTGGAAGTGTTCGTGAAGGAAAGGCAGGTAAATATTTCGAATTTATTTATTTAGAAACATAGCTGACACATGAAAAAGTTTTAACACACAACATTACAGATTAGTTCGAACAAGCAAAATATAAAATCATTCTACTCATTAGCCTCATCATCGAAATTTCTTGATGTGGTAGTGTCTTTTTTCTTTCCCTTTCTTCTAGCACCAGCTAGAGATCTGCGTCCTGACAACGATAATCTTTCAGGTGAATGTCGCTCACGGACAAACCTACATGCCACCTCAACACCGCTGAAATCAACGTGCCCGTAATCTTGGGTCGGCTGAGTTATTGGAAGCGGGTCATCAAGCTGCGACGGTCCTAACTAGTGCTGTGCTATTGACGACCCCCAACCGTAGCTACATGGTTCTCCGTATGACTGTGTGCTGCCAGCATATCCCATCATTTGTTCGGCGGTGTACATTCCTACAAAACATTGAATCCAAAGTTGTAGTGTACACACATACTGGAACTAAAATATTTTGTAGTAAATTATAATTTGTACCTGTTGTTTGTGGTTGCATGATAGGTGGTTGACTTAACAAACAATCTCCTTGGCCTAACATCTCCAAAAAAAAGCTTGGTCCTTGTGGTTGTGCGCTTTTATTTATGGACATTTGGTACATCCCCTGTAGGTGTAGCGCTAATTTAATATAGCAACATAAAGATCGTCAAAAATAAAACACATTATGTATGAACTAGTGTTGTATGTGGAAACTTCATGCCACTGATCGTTCATACCCGTTGGAAACATGGGCATGTTAACTTAAGGTACACCTGCAAAAATAAGCAAATATGTTTGTGACTCAGTAAATTACAAAATGATGAATATTAACATGTGTGTTTATTGAACTACCGAAAAACGTTGTGTACCCTACAAGGAACTACGAGCTTCCATCTTCTATACGCATCGAGGGAACCATTTGGCTGGATCCTGCGAACCGCGCAAACCCTCCCTGCCATTCACTAGTGGTACTTGCATGCGGAATAGAAGGGATCACTGATGTACTACCTACAATAATCTCTATAGGTGAATATTGAATTCTGAAAGTGTCAATTAGGCCTAAAGGGGGGTGAATAGGCTAATTCAAAAATTCAATTAAAAGCGGAAGCAGTAATTTTCGGATATTTCCGAAATTTTCGGATATATCCGAAAATTTTCGAAGTCAGCACAAACAGCAAAGTAAATCCTAGATCTAGCTGCCTACAACAAGAATATGCTAGCACAAACAGCAACTAGACCTGTAGCGGCTCAAACAAGCAAAGCTAGTGGAGAGGGAGGAAGTAAAGTCACCAAAGATGAAGCTCACAAGGTTGTTCCCGAAGTTCGAATCCTTGAGGGGATTCTACTCTCCGTTGAGGAGCTCACTAAGAGCCGGGTCTTAGCTAACCCTTTCCTTAAGAGGTTGCACTAAGCACTCCTCCTTCCACTAAGGGTATCTCTTCCCTTTCGGAGGTGAGATCCGACCTTCACAAACTTCTCCTGGCCAACCACAAGTAGATCGGTGGCTCGGGAGCGACACCTAGCCGCCTAGGAGTCCTCAACCTCCAAGAATAACAAATGAAGCAAAGAACTCCCAGAGATGATGAAAGTGCTCACAAATCTTCACGAAGTCAACAACAAGCACTCCCACAAACTCGAATCCACAACTCTCACACACACACCAAATCCAAATCGAACACGGGTGAGAGGAGAAACAAGAAAACAAGGCTCAAAAGTGCAAGAGAGAGAGCAAGCCAAGGGCACAAATGATTGGAATGGAACCAGCAGCCCTCACAAGTGAGGGGAGGGGGCTATTTATAGCCACAGCCCAGATTCTGCCCGTTATGCACAATAATTGAGATTTTCGGATATTCCGAAAGATTTTCGGACATGTCCGAAAATTCCAGCTCAGCACCAACAGCAAAGTCAACGAAGGATTTTTCGGACATTCCGAAAACTTTTCGGACAAGTCCGAAAATTTCCAGTACCAACAACATCCTTCTGGATGTTCTCGGAAAAGTCCGAAAATAACTTTCGGACAAGTCCGATAATATACAGAAGCGAAATTGACTCTACTGTCCGAAAATCAGTTTCGGACAAGTCCGAAAATATACGGAACCACTTTTGCCTTCGCAGTCTTTTTCGGAAAGTCCGAAAATCACTTTCGGACATATCCGAAAATTTAGCGAAAATCTGGTTCTATGTGTTTTCGGAAAGTCCGAAAATGAGTTTCGGAAAACTCCAAAAAAATCCAGAACACACCAAACTGAGAAACACTTTTTTAAAAATAGATTTTGAGCACTTTGATCACTCCTCGTATGTCAATGCATCATCCCTCTTAATAGTGCGGCTTTCCTATTAACTCAAGGAAACGAAAACGTACAAAATACCATTTGCTCATTTGCCGCATCACATCACATCAACGTATTCGGCGGGATATGCATTACGCTAACTCATTGAGGACATAACAACCTTCACATTTGCTTAAATAAAAATGTTAGTCCTCTCTAATCGCATTGTAATTAATCACCAAAATCATTAGGGGCCTAGATGCACTTTCAAATTCAAAAATAGCACCAGTTTTGTTCAGAAAACAAAAGGCAAAACCACCACCTAATTTTGGTATATTCCAAAAATTAGTCCATAAAAATAGTGTGTATTGTACTTTTAAGTCCCTAAATTAAATTAGCATTGGGTACAACAATTAATTCTATAAGTTAGGCCACTTGTACTTAAAAAATTGTGCATGAAAAAGAGCTAAATTTTTGGACAATTTTCATAATAATACGTAGAGCTTTTAGTTTAATTTAGAGAAAGGTTGCCATAACTATAATGATTAAAAATAATTCGTGCACCTAATATAATTCATATGTTTTCATATACATATCTTGTAACAGGTTTATTAGAGGCGTGTGAATGCTTGACTATA